TATACATTCCCGTCTGAAGTTTGCCAATGAACATCTGAATGATTCAGAGGACAACTGGGTGAAAGTGCTGTGGTCAGATGAGACCAAAATTGAGCTCTTTGGCATCAACTCAACTCGCCGTGTTTGGAGGAGGAGGAATGCTGCCTATGACCCCAAGAACACCATCCTCACCGTCAAACATGGAGGTGGAAATATTATGCTTTGGGGGTGTTTTGGTGCTAAGGGGACAGGACATCTTCACCGTATCAAAGGGACGATGGACGGGGCCATGTACCGTCAATTCTTGGGTGAGAACCTCCTTCCCTCAGCCAGGGCATTGAAAATAGGTCGTGGATGGGTATTCCAGCATGACAGTGACCCAAAACACATGGCCAAGGCAACAAAGGAGTGGCTCAAGAAGAAGCACATTAAGGTCCTGGAGTGGCCTAGCCAGTCTCCAGACCTTAACCCCATAGAAAATCTGTGGAGGGAGCTGAAGGTTCGAGTTGCCAAATGTCAGCCTCGAAACCTTAATGATATGGAGAAGATCTGCAAAGAGAAGTGGGACAAAATCCCTCCTGAGATGTGTGCAAACCTGGTGGCCAACTACAAGAAACGTCTGACCTCTGTGACTGCCAACAAGGGGTTTGCCACCAAGTACTAAGTCATGCTTTGCAGAGGGGTCAAATACTTATTTCCCTCATTAAAATGCAAATCAATTTATAGCATTTTTGATATGCGTTTTTCTGTATTTTCTTGTTGTTATTTTGTCTCTCACTGTTCAAATAAACCTACCATTAAAATTATAGACTGATCCTTTCTTTGACAGTGGGCAAACGTACAAAATCAGCAGGGGATCAAATACTTTTTTCCCTCACTGTACTTCCGTGACCAGTTACATGCTAATCCCTCACACTAACATCATGCTAATCTCCCAGTTACATGCTAATTTCTGACTTTAACATCCTGCTAATCTATCACATTAACACAGCTACTTCAATGCTAAATTCTTCTGTTGATATGTAAACTCCTTTGTCAAGGCGCTCTGCTCCTCCCACCCAGCTTAAACGACGCTGCCAAGCTCAGCAGTGTTCATTGGAACGCTGTCTTCCCGGCAGTTCTGTTTCTTCACCTGAGGAAGGCTACTTGTGTTGTGGCCGAAACGTCGTGAGAATTTTATTTTATTATTTTCCTCCTTTACCAAAAGAACCAAGAAGAAGAGCTTCATAGCTCATCGGGTTCCTCCTCCAGGATAATGAAAGATTCTGATTATGATGCCTTGGACAAAGGCACATCCTCACAGCATGACACTTTTTTTTTACTTTTAAGGGCGCGGTGTTGTTGATGAATGTGAGTTTGTTATGTTAATTGTGCTTGTGCACGGCCAATGCAGCCATGGCAGCAGCATTATACAATAATGTATTAATATGCACACAGAAACAAATATATTATACAGTAAATCCTCGTTTAGCGCGGTAGATGTGTTCCTGAAAAGCGCGAAAAGCTGAAAATGCGTTAAGCGAAAACAATTTCCCCATAAATAACGTAACGACAAAGCTTGGCGAGATGCAATGTAGTACTATAACGCGCACACAGTGAGTTGGCGGGACAAATCGCTGAGGGCACGCCACAGCATTGCCGTATCATTCCGCGTACTGTACCATACCGCTCAGCCACGCAGCTCAAGAAAGTAGTTCGTCGTCAGCAAGTTACATCAACAAAAAATGCAAGAAAGGATGCAAGAGTAAGATAGAGAAACATTAAGCAAGGCAATAAGTAAATACGTATTTATATGGCATGGAAGGGCAAGTACATACATTCCAGCATAATTGTCAACACCAATGCAAGCTTGGACAAGGCAGAAAAACGACAAAAATCCAAGACCACACCAAGACAATAAGTCAGCCCCTCAATTACATTGCACTTTATAAACTATTAAACTCTCTTAAAACTTTTAAACTATTTTTATTTTACCAGGTAAGGCCCACTGGGCTATATATACTCTTTTTCAGAAGCAACCTGGCCACAAATGATAGCTCAATGAAGTGGCTTATCATGTGGAAATTTATGGCAGGCATATAATCTGAACGCACGTTTCTAAATGTGGAGGGAAAAACCAAAGGACCCCAGAAAAGTCCACATGACCACGGCGAGAGAAACATGCAAACTCCAAATATACAGGCATCAGGCATCAGGCAAGGTCGTCGGCATCTCGTCACCGTGGCGCCCATCCAACTATCGGTACACGGGCAATGTTCATAGCATAACATTTCAGTAGCAAATGTTATGAAGCTAGCAAACAAGGCGTTTTCTATCAAATCGGATTAAATCCCAAATCCCATTCCTCCATTTCTAAAGCAATCGCTTGTTGGAACACCGACATGGAAATTAAAATATCGGCTCTCAGTGGTCTCAGCTGTGATACAAATTTAAATTTAATTTAATTTTTTCCCCGTAATGTTTTTTTTGTTTCTTCTAAGTTTTATCTCAGTTCTGCTCTTGGCATTGTCCATCATGAGATGAAACAATCCGTTTTAGTGTCTTGCATTGCGCAGGTTTGCAACGATGGTCCACTGAAGGAGATATCACAGAACTACTTTTGAAATCGCTTGCCTCATATCTGCACTTACAGGGCATATTTTTCGCGTGCAATTCATTAAATTCAAATCCAGGTTCTCGACGGGTTGCTGGCTCTGACCACCTTCCTCCTGACAGGAGTCATTCATGGATGCGCCAAACACTTTGCATTGGAAAAATAATTTTGCATTGTTTTCTACTCCAAAAAAAAACAAAGAGCAGCATACTGCAGGTTGATTTTCAGGGGGAGGCAGTGATATGCCACACCATGGAGATTCAATTAATTATCCAGCTTCCAACGTTTTCCGGCGGTCCCAGGCCGATCCGGGGAAACCGTCAAAAACCGCTCCGAAGGCTGTTACCAATTCAGCGATTGGCACCGTGTTCGTAAAAGTAGCTTTGCTTGATTTCAGCATCAAATATTATATACAGCACATTATACACCACGTACCTTGAACAATGAAAATACTGCACGTGTTTCATGACTAATAACTACAGTAATAAAAACAGAAAATATACAGACTGCGTGTAATTCGGCATTCGCATCAGTCCAGTGATCGTCACACATCCAGTTGTTGTTGATACTCTTTGGTTCTATTGGGTAAAGTCACGTAGGTGAAAATAAAATAACAAAAAATCACGACGTTTTGGCCACAACACAAGCGGCCTTCATCAGGTGAAGGGACGAGACTGTCTGGAGGACAGCGCTGGAGTGGAAGAAGCCACGCTTAGATCGCGACCTTTAAGCTGTGTGAGAAGAAAAAGGCCAAGTGCCTTGAAAAAGGCCAAGTGCCTTGACAAAGAAAAAGGCCAAGTGCCTTGAAAAAGGCCAAGTGCCTTTGTCAAGGCACTTGGCCTTTTTCTTCTCACACAGCTTAAAGGTCGTGATCTGAGCGTGGCTTCTTCCACTCCAGCGCTGTCCTCCAGACAGTCTCGTCCCTTCACCTGATGAAGGCCGCTTGTGTTGTGGCCGAAACGTCATGATTTTTTGTTCTTTTATTTTCACCTACGTGACTTTACCCAATAGAACCAAAGAGTATGGATCCTAACAGTCACGAAAGCTTTAAATCTAGAATTCAGTTGTTGTTGAAACAAGAGCGTAGTAGTAGTACATACATCACCCCATGCAGGGTGTTTGATATTGGAGTGGTAAGTATGGTACAGTAAATACGGTAAGGGGCCGTCCATAAATAACGTCACGTGATTTTGGACGATTTTGGACGTCACAAAAAGTCAGACCCCCCCCCCTCAAATATGACGTCACAAAGCTCTGCCCTCCCCCCCTCCCCCAAAACCATATTTCCATTTTGAAAATAAAACATGCTTAAAATCGCTTTAAACTATTGTCATTGTTGTGCGTATTTAATGTGGAGCTGCACCCTGATGTTGTAGGAGAAAACACGTATTAAAAGGAGGCGTTGGAAAGCTTAAATTTAGCATAAAATTCACTTGAAAATATTCAACGTCTAACTAAAACTACAGATGTTCAGAATATATTGAAATTATCTTATAATTAGAAAATATTAAAAGTAATTATAACTATAAAAAAATACTTGAAACTTTGTAGTATAACGAAGCAAAATGGAGAGTACAATTATAACAATCATACACTGTATATTCATTCCACAGAATGAAAAGCCCTGGTAGAATCATTTGAATAAAAATGTTTAATAACAATCATTTTTAAAAATGTTCAAAATGTATGCTTCTCCATTCTCCCATGGAGAAGCAAGATGCTCCTTCATGGAATAAATAAAAGATTACCTTTGTAAATATAAATAATGAAATAGTTCATCATGAAAATCAATCAAAATTAGTGTTGTCATAACAATTCTATATTTATTTAAAGTTGCGCATTTTGATGTGACGTCACATTTCTCACCCCCCCCCCCCGTCACACATCGTCACAAATATCTGACCCCCCCCCCCCCCAGGTGCGTGACGTCATTTATGGACGGCCCCTAACTTTTTTACATTAGGATATTTATTTGTGTCTATTTGTATATGTATTCATGCCAATTTCATATAGTAAACACATTTAAAATACTAAAAACATATACATAAGACATGTTATGCAAGAATGTGCAAAGAAAAGCTATTTTTAATAATGATTAGTGATTATCCAGCGTTTTTGGAAATCCGGTCTGGATAATCGATGGTCCACTCTATATTATTTTTGTAACATTTATGCGATTGTGGCGCCCTCTTGTGATTGCATGATTACATGATTACATTAATCCATTACATACGCGTGGCTCCATTCCCTTTCCTCCCTCTTTTCCCTATCGTCCCTCTTATTTACCATCTTCACTATATCCCCTCTCATTCTTATTTTATTTCCCCCTCTTCTCCCTCTCTACCTCCCATTCCATCTTCTCCCTCTCCTCTTCGCCCCTCTCCCCCCTTGTCTCCTCCCCTGCCCCGGTCTCTGCCATCCCTCCCAGCCTGCACCAGGTGTTCTTTGACGTGCCGGCGTGCAAAGGCGCGGAGGTGGAGCGCCTCTACCTGACGGGCGACTTCTCCTCGTCGGTCGAGTTCTACGTCACGGTCGCCGTCTTCGCGTTCCTCTACTCCCTCGCCGCCATCGTCGTCTACATCTTCCTGCAGCAGAAGTACACGGAGAACAACCGTGGACCCATGATTGTGAGTGATTGACCGTGGACCCATGAGCAGCCGGCAATGTATTTTTATTGTGGGGGAAAGTGAGCAGCTTCATTCGGTGCCTAAAAAAGCTCCCAGCCCACGGAGCGGAACGTCGGAAGTCGTGTCGAACACCACGCGGCACAACTCGAACGCGCATCGGAGAGCGACGCCAGGCTTTATCTTGTCTTGGCGAGACCGGGGTTTAAACTCGCGCTGTGCACCGCAGCATGCCCATCTGCTGCTCGCTAAGTCCAGCGCGGCTGTCTTCGTGCCCCCATTCGATCGTCTGCCAAACACAAAAGCACGCCCCTAATCCTTCCAGCGCTGGATTTAATATCTCGTAATGCCCACGCAAAGGGGGCACTGCTGGGAGCCTGTTCACGACCTGCACTATTCCACTTAGATGCGGCAGGCCATATACACAAACAAAACATTTTTTTTATCAGTCTTAGCCTAATGCAAACGATCAAACTGCACAACCGTTTGGTGTGGCATATAAACAGATGCTGGACGACGTATCAACGCCTGCACACGCTATTGGACGTACATCTCGGACGCTTTAAATCTTCGGGTGGTCACTCGGTGCGATTGTAAAGTGGGGTTTTGCACGGCCATTGGACGGCAATCATTTAGGGCTGTCGTAAATAAATAATGTGTCCACCTTTCTTGATATGCATGAGAAATAAATAGCACTGTGGTGTCAGACATGCTGGGATAAAGGGACTATGACTCGTTCCAGAAATCAGCCTTAATTTAAAATTGTGTCCTAAACGTATGTCCGAAATTGTGGAATTTCTCTGACATGAATGATGTATATTGATCATTGATAATTACAATGATGAATGATGATGATAACGACATTGATGATGATTAAGACGATGACAATGACAGCATGACAGTGATGAGGATTACATGCATCATAATGACCAAGACGACAACAACAGTGCAAATAGGGATGATTTTCAATTATTGATAACGGCAATGACGATGATTGATGATGACGATGGTTCGTGGTGATGACGACAATGATGATGGCAGTGACATTGCTGATGACAATTATGGTGATCCAAGGACTGCAACTATGACCATGATGTTGATGTGATTACGACAGTGATGATGACCAGTGACAGTTAGGATGATGATAAGTATGATAATGATTATGACAATTGACAAGGATGATAATGATGACCGTGCTCATGCTGTGAGTAACCCCTCCTCCCCCCCCCCCCCCCCCCCACTTCGACCTCTTTCTTTCCCTATTCCATCTCCTTATCCGATGTTTCTTCCCTCAGGACTTCATCGCCACTGTCGTGTTCTCCTTCCTGTGGCTGGTGAGTGCCTCTGCCTGGGCTAAGGGCCTCTCGGACGTGAAATCTGCCACGGACCCCGAGGAGGTGATCTTCCTCGTGGCCGCGTGCCAGGCCGCCGTGCCGCTCGCCACCTGTAAGGAGGGCCTCGACCCCGTGACCTCCGGCCTCAGCGTCTCTGTTGTGAGTTTCGACGTCTCTTGCCCCACGCTCGCGATCAAAAATGTCGGGATGCTGCTGCAGAGAGGCAGGGAAAGGCAGACCCGGTTTGCGATGGCTTGCCCAAACCCCGACGTATTTCTCGATGGACCTATAGGTATATTGAGACCGCAGTATGGCGTGCCGAAAGAAAATTAAACACGATACTTGGTATCAGAACTCGATCAAAAAAAATTCCTGCCACACAAACACAGATGGCAATTTCTGGACTGTCTGGGTTAAACCTGGGCAGGTGGTAACAGTGAGGGGGAGAGCATGCTGCGATGATTTAGGGGAAAGGTAAGCTTGTTTGTGAAAAAGTGGTTTAAATCACAACGGTGGGCAAGACAAACGACCGAGTGGCAACCAAAGGGGAGGGGGAAACACCTCTGAGAGGATGAGGGCCTCTCGAAACCATCCCACGCAGTCCCACAATGCCACACTACGGAGCGCCTCTACACGTGAGCTGACTCCATCGCTCCATACTCACGAAGCGTGTATGAGAGAGATCATTATTTCTATGCGTAGACTTTCGCGATTCAATGTGATTTGTAATTGGATACTTTGGGGTTAGCTTGTGTAAAAAAAATCTGGGTCATAAACCCCTCCTCCACCCAACACAGCCAATTAATAACAAGGTCGCATGAATCAAACGTGGCCAAATACGTTCCTGCTTTTGTTACTGGTTACTGATTCGCATGACCCTGTTATTAATTGATTGCATTGGGTGCAGAAGGGTTTATGATGCACATTTTTACACGACCTAACCCAAAAGAAGCCAATTATGAATTAGGGATAGTTATGTTTTGTAAACAAAACTTGATTAATGTCAAAAATGTTACAGAAAATAACACATTCCCATTAACAATTTTCCTCGCTTTATATTTTTAAAAATCGTATTTACTTCTCTAAAATGCCTGAATTGTTGCTTATTTTTCTTAGGCCGAGCACATGCCTATCCTTGCCTAGATCCTCTGCCGGGCTCCCAGGGCTGGGTTAATCAGGCAAAAGGGGAGGGTGAGGCTCAGGCCTCCTAGCCTTGACCATGTTAGGGATTAAAGACCTGGGTTTCTCATTGCATTTAATGGCACATTAGTGTGAAACTGTTACATCAGTGTGAAACTGTTACATCAGTGTGAAACTGTTGCAAAACAATGAAAAAACACAATTTTGCTGTTTAACTTACGATGTTTCGCAACATTTTAACATATTTACACACTGGAACGTTGCACAATTTAATGTCAGCGTTACTCACAAGCACCTGCCATTTGGAACCTCATTCTTAGAATTCACTCACAGGTGGTCGGCCACCTCATTATCACGCTTCTATCTCTAATTCCATGGTTACTGTTCCCATGAACTTGTATGCATGTTTGTTGAACTTCTCACTCACCCACTCACTCGCCACACTGCAGGTTACAATTACTCACTCGCTCACCCACCTACCCACTCACTCACCACACTGCAGGTCATAGTAATTCACTCACTTACCCACCCACCCACTCACCAAACTACAAGTCACAACACTTCCCTTGCTGCTCCTTCAATGCACTTCTACACTTTGTAATTCCCTCCTGTTGTCTCTTTTTCCCACGCTCTTTCAAACCTTGCTTAAGTCGAGAAACGTGTTCTCTCTTATCCATTACACGTTCAACAGCGTTGTTCGTCGCTGGCCACTGGGCGTTTTTGGGCCTTTGGATGTGTGCTCGGCAGTTGTAGCGAGTAAAAAATGGTATAGAAATAGTTATCAAAAATATCCTTGGCCGTATGGTCTGACGCTCGAGCGCCTAACTGCCACGTCTCGTCTGCTCTCAGGTCTTCGGCTACCTGAACTTCGTGCTGTGGGCCGGCAACATCTGGTTCGTGTTCAAGGAGACGGGTTGGTCGGCGGGCGGGCAGCCGGCCGCCGGAACCAGCGGGCCCATGGCCGCTGCGGGACCCGGCGCCATTCCGCCTGCAGCTGCCAAACCTGGCCTGGGCGGCGGTGTCGGCGGCGGCAGCAGCGACGCCGTAAGCTACGGGCAGGACTCGGGCTACGGGCAAGGTGGATACGAGCAGCCCGGCGGCGGCGGGGCAGGAGGTGGGTACGGGCAGTCGGCCGGATATGGCCAGACTAGCCCCACCTCCTACGTCAACCAGATGTGATGTCGCCCAACCGCACGCTCTCCAGATTTCGTACCGCGGGGGCAGGAAATTAAGAGTGGTTCATAACCAGAGGTTGCTTTCAGTGCAAACGGTGTGAGCATGTTTTAGAACGAGCAAGCGTCTCTCAGTTGAGTGTCGCCCGATTGGAAGCGATCTTGCAATAGGGCGACGGATTTTTGTTGAATTTTTTTTTTCGGCGGACGTGGTGATAGGCCGCCCCTGTCGGGTTCAGGGATTTTCCGCTGGGCCCAACTGCCGGAGGAAATACTTTGCTCGCGAATTATGTTTTCTTTCTTCCGTCGGAAAGCAAAGGTGGTTGAGTGTCACGTTATAACGCATGTCGTACAGACGACGTATTTATATATTTCGTTTCTTCCTTGCTTTCGTCAACAAATTGACCTCATGGACCTCGAAGTATCATTTTCAATCAGTTTTATGAGTTAGATTTTCTTTATATATACTTTATGTTATTTCGGCCATCGACAAACATCACGAGTGGTGGTGTAATTGTCTTTATTTAATATTTCAAGTTCTGGATGTGACTGATAAAAAAAACACACACACACTTCTAACTCTGATAATTTCCTGCCCTGGCTTTAATTTTAGGCATGTCTATACAAAAAATCATGATCATGTTATGAATAATACATTTTAAGAAGCAACATAAGTCAGAAGCAGCTTTTCCCTCCACTATTAGGCAAAGGGCACTGCATTTTTAGCCACCTGTCCAATGTAGCGTCATCCGTGTGTAGACGAGGTGTGTTGGAAGTGACAGTGTGATGACGGATTCTAGTCTCTGGATGTTTTAAAAATCGATCTGATCCAAACACAGACAACTCATGGGGGACATCATTCACAAACCGTGCGTAAAGATCGCTGCCCTGTATTGGAAATTACTGCAGGGTTCAATGCCCAAATTAATAAACACATCGTAATTTACATAAGGTCAAAGAAAGAGCACGCTAAACTCCCCATCAACCTCCAAACGTGTGTTTGGTGTAGAAAAATGTTTAAATCGCGTTACCACTATGATAATGATTTTGTCAGATGTAAAAAAAGAAAGTAAATCCAGACTTTATTTTACACACGATGTGGTTGTTTAAGAATGTGCCACGGTTTTTGTGAATGTTTTGGGTTATACCTCGCAAATGTTGTTTGTGTGTACACAAGTGCTTTTAAGATTTTCGTTCATAATTTCACAATGGTGGACAGTTTTAAGTTACAAATATTTGGTGCAGGTTAATTGTGGTCGGATCACTCTGTCTCGAGGTATGTGCTGGTTGTCTTCATGGAAATCTGTGTCTTAACATTGAAACAAATATTTCATCACCTTACGTAGTAAATACTCACCTTGATAAAATTTCACGTGGTTTTCCAGAATGTATTTAGAGAAAAATCTTATATTCTTTAAGGAGTATACTGTTATGACAGTCGCCACATCCCTTTGATAATTTCTGGAATCCTTGTATTTATTTTCTATCGCTTCCTACAATAGATAAATATTATAAGACGTTGCACAACGTAGGCAAGGTTATTAAAATTGCATGAATATTTTTTCTCGAATTTATTTAATCTCAGCGCTCGAATTAATGGCAAAAAACGTAGCATTATTCCACATCACCATGGTGGAGCGAAAGTCACATCATAATTCTGGAGAAAACATTTGGTTTATTTTTTCGCAGAGATGAGCAGAGGTATGTACAGCCGTTTATTTTTTACTTCATCGATGGGTTTTGTCGTTCCTGTCTCGTCCAATGCCTCTGAATGGTGGAGAATTGAGCACGGCTCATACAGGGTGAGCCATTTCTAGACACCCCGCTGGAATAATGGAGAAGCCGTGTGTTATCAACACACCGTGTTTTAATCTGGAGCCTCTGAAATGCCTCCCAGTGATCTCCATCGCAACTGAATTGTTCGCAACAGTGGATGAAGATGATGATGCGTATACCGAGGTCATCGATATCTCGCTGTCTCGTCGCGTACGCATGCCGTCTGGGACATTGAGCCCACTGGGAACAATGCATGAGGGGTGGGGGGGTGGTGATGTTATGTCTGGTTAACGAGGGGCCCACGCGATTGTCATGTGAACGCGGGGGGCCCACGTGACTGTTCCGCCTCGGCCAATCCAACACGCAGGTAACTCCTGTTGATCAATCACACGCGACACAAGGCCATGGTGGTTAGCGATCAGTGGGGTGTCTATGAATGGATCACACTTTGCAATAGGTACGTGTCCGCCCACTCGTGTGTGTGTGTGTGCCCCTTGGCCTGTTGGTTTTGCCCGTCGGTTTTGCCCGTTACTCTGGAACCCCGCACAGATGAAAGCCACCGGTCAGTCTCTCGTCAGCTACTTTCGCTACGCCGTTCGGGTTGCAGAATTGTAATTGTTCCGTGGTAACGGATGGACTCAGTCTGCGTTTGTGCAAAAAGGCCTCGTGCTTTGTGGGTTATCCCTGGACCAAACTGAAATTTGTTGAACATATATACACACACGTAATGTTTGTTGTGTATATCTGGCATTACACAGGCTTGGGTTATTTCAAATTTCATTACATTTTTATTTAGGAATATAGCAGAGAGCGCCTCGTATCCGTGACAGAGTAAGCCACGGTGCTACTAGAGCAGCCCTTTTGTTCCCATCGTTCATGATTTTGTTATGGATCAGTGGAGTAAATTCGTGGATAACACGTTACATGATATTCGTCACCCCCACACATCACCACAAATAAGAGGTGATCTCCTGAACTTTAACATTCAACGGTTGAACTTAATACATGTTTATTTTACTCTCATTAATGATGCACTTCGGGATTACGGATTGTATTTAATTATTAATGAAAGGCTCAGCCTCAAGGTCAATACAGAACGTTGACTTGCGCTTGAGTTGTTCTGCATCAATAATATAATAATTTACTTACATATATACTTATTCTTCAGGTACATTTCTGACACCCGTAACGATGTATTTATTTGAAAACGTTAATTTATGGCCGCCCATAAGTTGTGTAATGTATACATAAAAGTAATATGTGCGATGCATTTAGTGTAATATAATTCGTCGCACACTGTTGTTGTGTAAAGTACGCACAGATTAAACAATCGCCCCACATCAAGACTTATGTAAGATTTAAGACGCCCTGCGCAATTGGAATTAAACACATGCGTGCCGCCCCTCCAGGTGTGAATGAGTGCTCCCTCTAGCGCTGCCAGATGGCTGCTTACGAGGCACTTTGACAGGAGCAGAATATGCGTCAACAATTGGTTTATTATCTATAGTAAAGGTTTTGGATTTAGGTTATATAGCCAAAATATAAATTTTCCCTGGACCCACTACCACCCGACAGAGAAAATCAGCAAGGTTTGTCACGTAAATAAATGTGGCAATTCGTTACTAGCTCAGCACTAACCGGTTGTGTGTTGGGCAGTAAACCCACTGCAACATTTACAATTCGAGTACCGTGACGTTTCACCGGTAATGACAACAACCAGCATCATCAGGCGACAGACAGAGTTGTGGAGAAATCCTCCTCCTGTTCTGGTCTTAAATAGACGGGGGATAAATGTGATGTCGTCACTTGTGAGCCAATCAGGTCCAAAGACCAGAGCGGGGGGGGGGGGGTTAATATACTCGTACAAATTACAAAGGATATCTATTAATGGTTGGGTTATTCACATTTATATTTATGCGGTATAACCCAAGAAACCCTTTTGTGGTTAATATTGGTCGTGAAAGCCTCCTCCTACGACTGCGTGTTCAACTGGGGTTTGTTACCCTGAGGTGGTACCAAACGGTGGCCACAGTGAACCGTCACAGAGGGCCTGTCCTAGTGAAGTGGCCCCTGAAGTACACGGTGGCAGTAGGCAATGATGGCTATGTTGTACTGATGACTCCTAACGCGCGCGAAGCCAGGGTGTACATTGTTCAGCCGCAGTCTTTAAATATGAATAATGAGATGGTCACGACTCTGAATCTTGGTGGCCTCACACAACGCCGTGTGTACGGCGATGTCACGTGGCATGAAAGGCATGCTGGTAGGACCGATGATGTTACGGTCACACGGTCGGGCCTCTTTGCCGTCTAGAAATGCCCTCGTTGCGTGGATTATAATTACCGCGACTCGTTGCGTGGATTATAATTACCGCGACTCGACTCTTTGTTTCCCAACCTGCACGCACCTCTTCGTCTCACCGTTTACAGAGAGCGTTGTGGAAGCGGTTTTGACGTAAGCTGTTACACCACGGGGGGTGGTGGGCGGAGGGGGGGGGGCGTTGATGCCAGCGTTGTGCGATGTGATGTCGCGAGTGCGTGTCCGTCCGCACAGGGCTGTGGGGTTCGTGCCGGACGTGCGACAATTCACTCCCCCTGCCCCCCGCCCTCTCTCTCCCCGCCACCTCCACCCCGACCGGCACCGCCACAAGCGCCACGAGGAATTGTCGTGATTTGAGAGTCGCGATTTCGATTTGTGAATCGATTACAGCAATACCCCGATTTACGTTTCCCCCTTTTACAAACATTTTGCAAACACGTCACGACATTATTATTAACACCGCCGCACGATTTGCGTCACCTCAACTCACACATTCATGTCACTGACAGCATCGTCATACGTCTTTTCTCGTTATCCATCGCCTCTCAGCCTTCGCCTCCACCACCGTACCCTGCAAATCGCTTCGATTCAAGTCGTTTAGATATTCGTCGTCGCACCTTTCAGGAACGCATCTCCAACGTAAACCGGGGTATTGCTGTGTTATTGTTTTTGTCCAGTTTGCACGGTCTCATTGGCATTGTCCGCCCCCGTTGTGTTCTGCGTCGTGCGTACCGTATCGTTCGTTCCGTTAGCCTTGAGGGAACGTTGAGCAAAAATGTTTTGCAAAGTTTTTTTCCTGGAGGATAACCGTAGATTTTTTGTCGATGGTTCAGCTGGACTGTTTACGCGTCCAGCATTGTCGGGATTCACGAATGTTTTTTTTTTGCGAGCACAGTTGGCAGTTTTGTCGCTACAGGTTGAGGAGGCTACAAAGTCAGGCTGGGTTTTCCTGGTCCCAGCTGGTGACATGTGCGGCATGGACTCGTTTATAATTGGAGCACAAAGGCAACGTGTGCCAGCGATGATTAAAGAAGGAGTCCTGTTCTCTCTGCCCAGCGATTCCGAACGTCGCTTATACCCAGAGCTGCCCCTAGGGGTACATGGCCAATCGGGGCGACCGCCCCGGGCCCCGCACTTTGGGAGGCCCCCCGATGCGCTTGGACGTCACGGTGTGAGATGTAATACCGCACTGCCCCCTGTGGACGGGCCTGCTGCTTACGCGTTGACTTTCGCTGCCGTCATCACGGGAGGGGGTGCACCGCAAGGTCGGTGGCATCAACCCACTTTGGCCATGGTGACATCTTAATGTGATGATGAAATCAAGAGTTGGAACGTCGAAGGGCTGCATCTCCCATTGGTGGGGGGGGGGGGGGGCTATCGTCCGGTACTGGAATAGAACGATTAAATCGGATACCCGACGAAATCTCCAACCAGAGATTCTCCCCCCCCACCCTCCCTCGGAAATGTGACAAAAGCAGTCGTGGCGTTAGCCAAAGGAGAGTGTCTTCGTCCATATTTATGGTCATTGTGGACCGTGAATTGAGGTTTAATTTTTATCGATTCACCTCGGTGGATCCGGCAGTCGCTGAAAGTCGATTGGGCAGCCATCTAGAAAATGTCCTAGCGATACAGTGGATCGAGTCGTCGCGTGACACACGCGCCCCCCCCCCCCCTTTTATTTGATTGGCCAATATCAGCGAGATTGGTGATTCCGCCGCAGTCCGCCTTGATTGTGACCACAGCGCTCCGTGTGCATTGACGGGGGGGGTGGGGGGGGGGGCCCGGCTCGTGTTGCGCGCCGCTGTCGGCGGCATGCAATCAGAGACATTGTTATGTAGGCCGATGAGCAACGTGGCTCTTTCTCACGGATGTCCAGTACGGGTGGTGGCGCGGGGTTCAGAGCGTTACAACAAATAAACAGTATGGAACAAAAACGATCGGAATGCAAAGTATAGGAAAGGAAAGCAAATTGCCGAAAGTAAATACGTAAAATAGATCAAGTATATACGTTCAAATTGCATAAGTACACCGATTCCCAAGCTTGGGCAAGGCAGAACAGCAGAAAAACCAGTCACAGACCACACTAAATACAACACACAGTTCCTCAATAAAATTGCACATTAAAATTCGAACGATCAATACATGGGTAAGGACAAATGTTATAAAACGGCATTTGCAAAAGCAATGCAAAGGGGAATGTCGGTGATTCCAGCTGGCGCTCGCCGGCTCAACACTGAAGCGCGGAGAGAGACGCTTGCCAGGAGTTTACACTGAGGCATAGGAATGGATTTGGAGAGCGCCCTATGCAGGTTAATGACATCAATAAATCTTGTTGCGCGTGGGAAGGACGCGCTGCCCGGTCGGACTCGGACCCGGTGTTGAGGAGTAACGATGGAGCGGCCGCCAGGGGTTGCAGGGGAAAGACGACAAACTGAACACAAAAAAGCAACTCAAACAAAATGAGTTTTCAATGTAGATGATTTAAAAGTGCTTAGCTTGAGCGGCGTCCTAACAAAGGAAGGAAGAGAGAAGCGGCGATACTGGTTCACGGAGGAGAACCAGCGGTGGAGTATAGCTCGTCCCGCCATTGTAGCTAACGAGGTGATGGAAGGGACAGACCACGATGGTGATGGCGACGCACTAACTCGGAGTGAAAGGCTCCCTCGAGGCGAGGGCGAACGAGGTGGAACGACCGAGACGGAACACTTAATTCCAGCAATTCAAAGCAGGCGTATACAAAGGCCAATTGAGGCAGACGTCTTTAAATTGAATCAGACAAATTAGACCAAAGAGAATCGATTCTTGAATCGGAATCGTCACCCCCCCCCTCCCCCCCCCCTAAAAAAGTCCGAACAGTTTCAATGGATCATGTCTGGAGGGGTGAATCGATACGCGTCTCACTCGTCGCCGGCTACAACCGTATACTACTGTAGGTACTGAAATGTTAATTACGTGGCACTTTCCTGGCTTGTGTTCAGTGTATTTTGTCTCTGTGCTCAATGGGTATTAACACCCCCCCCCCTTTGTTTCTGTGTGTGTGGGCGTGCGTCTTGTGTGTTGATATACGGTGGCACAATGGTTAACGCGCTGCGCTACGGACCCGGCAACCAGATTTCGATTCCCGCTCACGGCCAACACCGGTGATGGTTATCTGAACCGGTCCAGGGACTCGACAAGGTCGACTCGGCCTCAAATGAGTTCCTGGTGTGGTGGGCAGACATCGGCACTGGGAAGACAAAGTCGGCCGGGTGTGGTGCTGGCCACCTGGCCCCTCGTGTGCCGCGCCGGCCTCTATTGGTGCTGGCTAACAGCACTTGCCCAAAAGTGTGTTACGGCTACACGGGGGATCTTTATCTTTGCGTTTCTTCTTCAAATCGTTGTCGTACACCAGTGGGTCTTCATGGTTCCGTGTTGAGGAGGCTTTTAGTCCATGGACTAGAGCAGACATTGGCACCACCTCAGATAAACAAGACGTAAGCAGTAGCGGTTTATTTCTACGTGAATTACGAATGAATTACTTGAGAACTCGCTTCAAATGATTACGGCATAATTCACTGACATTGAACATGTGAAGAAAATGAAACTGCTGAAGCGATGCCACCCCAGGTGGTAGCGACAAGTTGAATACCTGGTCTGCGAGTACCTAGTCTGCATTTATGGCCTCCGTAGAGTCCTAGTCTCAGTTGATGAACGCTTGCAGGTGGACTGATCGATAATTGGAACACGGGCGATGTGTGTGGATTTGGTAATGGTGCACCGATACTGGGATCCCTGTGTGATTCTGTGGTTTATGTGCAAGTCTATTGGACTGATGGATCATTGGAAACACAGGTAATGTGTGGAGTTGGGACGCTGTGTGGGCCGAGTGCACCCCGTTTGCTGGAAAAAGTGCCGATGAAGGCATGACCAGCACATTGCAGTTTCTGAGAGGGGTCTCTATGTGAGTCTGCGCGTCTCCTGAGAGTCTTTGGGACTCAAAGTGAACATATGTGAGAGTCGCCGGGTCTCCTCGTGAGTCTCCGGATCTCCTGTGCGAGTATCCCACTCGAATGCGAGTCTCAGAGTCTGTTGAGACTCTCGAGCACGAGTGATGAAGCCACTGCCAGCGCAGGGAATCCACCTGCACGCGTCATCACCTGCGCATCCGAGATGGAAGCTGTAGCCTCAACGTGGACCCACGAACCGCCACCTCGTTGTGTACCCACAAAGAGGTCTAAGAGCAGCGGAGACCAAGTCACCGTTCGGATCTCTCGCAGAACAGTGCGTGTCATCCGTGCTAGAGGATGGCCCACGAAAGCGGATACCACAGAGCTACCTCTGAGATCCCTTCACGCGAATTCGCCTCCATGGAGAGTACAGGACAGCGCTTTCCCCAGCCGCCCTGCCACCACCGAGAGTAGTATCGCGTTTGTCACATGGCAGTTAGAGCAACGTTGACCGGAGGCGTTGCTAATGTGTCGATGCAGTTTATATCCACGGTGCACCGCGACCGTGTCTGCTGGCTATGTCGGGCGTCCCGATTTTGTGCATGTGGTACGCAGGGGGTTCTTACGTTTTGTTGTTTCGTCATATAGGCAAGACTGCGGTTTGTGACAAAAGACCCTGCCCTCGACCCTGAAAAAACAGTCTCAATAAGGCTTTCCTGGGTAAATAATTGGCATGATCGTCATCATGATAATGATTGGATTTTTTTTCAATTTCAAAAGTGCATTCTGCGACAAGACGCTGAAAGTGACGTGGGGGCAGGAGAGCGGCTACTGTGTCCATTGCTGCTTAACTCGCGGTGGGTCGGTTTTCCCGGTTATGTAATTGGCATTATTATACGTCTTGTGTGTGTGTGTATGGGGGAGCGGTAGTGTAGCGGTTAGCGCGCCGCGCGACGAACCCGGTGAGCCGAGTTCAATTCTCGCTCACGGCCAACACTGGTGACGAGTACCTGTACCGGTCCTGGGCCTCCCCTAGGTCAACTCAGCCTCATATGAGTACCTGGTGCGGTGTATGAACATCGCCACTAGGGAGACAAAGGCGGCCGGGCGTGGGGCTGGCCACCCACCCCCTCGTGCGCTGTGCCGGCCTTCATAGGTGCTCGCTAACAGCACTTCCCCCAAACAGTCTGTTAAGGCTACACGGGGGGATCTTTGTCTTTGTGTATTTTGTTGTCCTTCCCCGCACCTCCGCTTTTAGCGCACGGTTCGCTACGTACGTATGTGCATACGCGTGGCTTATTTCTTCTTGTTGTTGTCGTCTTTGCAAACAAACGCCACCGATCGATGGGTGGGCGGTAGCTTGGGGGAACGCGCCGTTCCGTGGGATTGGGGGCGAGCCTGGAGAGCGTGGAGCGAGTGCCGTGTCCCGCCGCCGTGGTCGCCTTGGTCCGTGGAGGTGTCGCTGTAATTCTTTTCCCACCCCCCACGTGAGCACGTGCACAAAACAACAAAAACTCTCGAAAAAAAATGTATCTGTATAGTGTGATTCCCTATATAACTTCTATTGACATGAATGTGGAATAACTTTTCGTGGAAGTGATGAACTATTTATTGTAGAATTCCAGCTTAAATGTGCAACCAGTGAGTGCGAAACTATACTACTATATGTCGTGTAAATATGACTCTCGCTAGATGTACATTGCCAAGAATGTGATGACCTCCCCACCCTGCCCCGCTATCCCCCCTCCCATCCCCCCCGAAACCCCTTTCAAAAAGATATCACGTAATAACGTATGTGAATGGCAAGACGTTACGTAGCTTAAACATTGTGGTCGTAGAGAGTTGTGTGTGTGCGTAAAATGAATCAAACTCTTCTGTTGGAGAACGTAATTCTTAAATATTCAGGAAACGCTATCGTGACATTTTTTTTTGCAGCCGTGCGCAAGTGTTTTGATTCGTGAAACAAGAGAAAATCTATTTAAATACACGCACACACACGTATATATATGACTGCAGTATACACGCACAGGCAAAGAGTATATATATGATGTCTACTACCTTAGATGCTTCTCCACTGACACGTATTGCTGATGCTACTGCGTAGGGTTTTCGCGGTTCCGCTGCAGCGCCCTCCGATGTTGCGTCGCGTCGTCCCGCGCGGCGTTCAGCGCTGCGTCCGATACGGGACACGGAGTTGCCCTTGCCTACCTCTCTACTCCCGTCTCCCTGTCATCTCTCCCCCCTCATCTCCCTCTACTCTCCTCCATTCACTCTCCTGCCTCTCATCTCATTCTACTCCTCTTCACATGCTCCCCTAACATTCGCACCACTTCCAATCCGCCACTCCCCTACCTCTCTACCCTTGTTACTCTACTCACACCTACGCATTCTCTGACCTCCGGCCTCATCTCTCTCTCTCTCTGTACTCCCCTCCACGCATTCTGCTATCTCCACCCTATCATGTCTCTCTCTACTCCCCTCCACGCATTCTGCTATCTCCACCCTCTCATCTCTCTCTGTACTCCCCTCCGCTCTCTCTCCACTCCGGCAACCGACGCTTCCTGTCGTCGGAGCATCCCCCCCCCCCGGGTCGAACCCTCGCTCGGCAGCTGCGAGGGTCGCTCGTCCTCCAGGCCAGGCGCGGTGCGACCCGAGAATGACGTCGGAGGGAAATCCGCGCTGCCGATGTGTAATGAACTCCCGCCGTACTGGTTATGAACAAAGCCATCACTCCGTCCTTGGGTTGTGTTGCCTACTCGCCCCCTTCCTCTCGTTCTGGACGTGCGTGCGCTGTGTGATGATGACGATGCTGATGATGACACGGTTCTCCTAACCCCGTTTGTGTATTACCCCCTCCCCCACCTCGTCGTGTGTCGTAATTTGCGAAATCTGAATAAAGTTTCCAAAACCAATGAAACAAAAACGAATTTGGGTTTGTTGTTTTTCTCAAGAATTTTCACTTCCTGAAGAAGCATGTGGCGCAAAACGTCGGACGTCGTTCCCGAACAAGGCACGGTGGTGGCACGACCCTGAAAATGCATCGGAGAGAGAGCCACCATTGAATAATTACAATTATAACTGGCAGCCCCTTTCTCAATCCACTGCTGGATGTGAAGGCCCTCCCATATGCCCCGTCATCTACGGGGGTCGTTTGAACCCGTACTGCACCGCGCTGAAACCAGGTAGATCCACGCTCGGATATCGCTCGCCACCGATGCCGGCCGTGGCCGCAAATTGAATTCAGCGCGGTGCGGTAAACCACTGCACCCACCGCATCACCGGGGTCGCTGTGTCGCTCACAAGGTTGTTACCGCGCTCTCTTAGGCGACCGTTGGACGAGTCTTCCTGGGAGCTGCTTGCACATTAGCAGCGTTTGTTATTTTAAACGTTATTTAAACGTTATTATTCCGCTCGTTGCTGTCGGTGCCCTAACCCTAGCGAGTAAATTACATAACCGTGCACTCATTGCTCTGACCGATGGCCACAAGCCTCACCTCCAATTTTTCATCAACTTCTACTAAAGCTTGTGGCATTTATTTATTCATTTGATTTGTTTACAAATTACATTTTCTCCAAATCCCTTAAGCTGCCGAAAACCTGCAACCTTGCGCGGACCCCGTTGCGTTCCTCATAGTGGCGTTGTTCCCGAGCGTTTGAGTCGAAGCGATTACCTCGCCACACAACGGGGGTGAGGGGGTGGGGCAAACCAAGAAGCTTAAACAAGAAAAAATCCACACAGCGACCCGCGGTCAGTCGTATAAAATCAGTCGCTGCGAGTTTCTTAACTCACTGGGCTGGAGCCACCAGTCATCGCGCACGCACGCAGGCAGACTCGCATACAAACAGAAAAGCAACGCATACAGGCAGGCAGGCAGACGGACGGACAGGCAACGCACGTTCCCAGAGACGAGTTGCCTCCCACCCACCAGGGTTCCACGCGATTCGGGTGCCAGGGCTGTCTCGAGGTTTTCTGGGGCAAAGGCGGTCGGTCGGACTGCGGACAATCCGTGTGGTGGGGACCGATAGGCCAAGGGGGTCGTGTCGAGCCGAACCGCGCCTCTAACCCCGCGGTGTCTTCTCCTGGACCGCCACCGTTCGGCGGCGTGTTTTGCGGAGGCAGTAAGAGCCACACGCGTTAGTGGGGTGGTCATACGGCAAGTAGGTTGCTGACCTGCCAGTCCTGAAGAAGTGCAAATAACACTCGGAGAGAGTTTCTCGTCTAAAATAAAGGCCACATGTTAAATGCAGGACATTATTGTTAAATGTATTTACTGACAAAGCGTTTTTAAATAAAGTGCGTTATCACGGTATTGTTAGAGTGTTCGTCCCACATTAGACGTGGGAGATTTTTTTTCCAGGAACGCTCAAATACTGAACGCTCCATACATCTCGAAGCAGTAGCGTCCAATTCTCTCGTTTTTTTTGCAATTATCACAATTACAAACATTGCCAGCAGCAGCACTATCATCATCGTGACTCATTATTATTATTGTCACGCACGAGTGTGGGCGGAAGGTTCTGGTTGTGCGGGGCCCCCTTGTGCCCCCCGCCTCCCCCGCGTAAAATCGCGGCCATGAACGGCCACCGCTCGTCCAGCCGCAAGGGCAAGGTGGAGACGGCCGTCTCGTCCCTCATCGAGGTGTTCCACCGCTACGCCGGAGAGGACGGGGATGACCTGTCGCTCAGCGTCACCGAGCTGCGCTCCCTCATTCGGCACGAGCTGCCCACCATGTCCCAGGTGAGCACCCGGCCTCGCACGGAGACCCATAGACTCGCACGGAGACCCACAGACTCGCACCGAGACCCACAGACTCACACAGAGACCCACAGACTCGCACGGAGACCCACAGACTCGCACGGAGACCCATAGACTCGCACGGAGACCCATAGACTCGCACGGAGACCCATAGACTCGCACGGAGACTCACAGACTAACACGGAAACCCACAGACTCGCATGGAGACCCATAGACTCGCACGGAGACCCACAGACTCGCACGTAGACCCATAGACTCGCACGGAGGCCCATAGACTCGCACGGAGACCCATAGACTCGCACGGAAACCCACAGACACGCACGGAGACCCACAGACTCGCACGGAGACCCACAGACTCGCACGGAGACCCACAGACTGGCACGGAGATCCACAGACTGGCACGGAGACCCACAGACTCGCACCGAGACCCACAGACTCACACAGAGACCCACAGACTCGCACGGAGACCCACAGACTCGCACGGAGACCCACAGACTCGCACGGAAACCCACAGACTCGCACGGAGATCCACAGACTCGCACGGAGACCCACAGACTCACACAGAGACCCACAGACTCGCACCGAGACCCACAGACTCACACAGAGACCCACAGACTCGCACGGAGACCCATAGACTCGCACGGAGACCCATAGACTCGCACGGAGACCCACAGACTCGCACGGAGACCCATAGACTCGCACGGAGACTCACAGACTAACACGGAAACCCACAGACTCGCATGGAGACCCATAGACTCGCACGGAGACCCACAGACTCGCACGGAGACCCATAGACTCGCACGGAGACCCACAGACTCTCACGGAGACCCACATACTCGCACGGAGACCCACAGACTCGCACGGAGACCCACAGACTCGCACGGCGACCCACAGACTGGCACGGAGACCCACAGACTGGCACGGAGACCCACAGACTCGCACCGAGACCCACAGACTCACACAGAGACCCATAGACTCGCACGGAGACCCACAGACTCGCACGTAGACCCATAGACTCGCACGGAGACCCATAGACTCGCACGGAGACCCATAGACTCGCACGGAAACCCACAGACTCGCACGGAGATCCATAGACTCGGACGGAGACCCATATACTCCATAGAGACCGATAGACTCACATGGAGAACAATATGCACACTGGTGTAGCCAATAATGCTGTAAATTATAATAATTCAGGGTATTTGTGAGTCGCGTCATTCTCACACCGCAAGGCTACCATGGAGTCGCTTCTGTTTCACTGACAGGTGGAGTCTTCCAGTAGGGGTGTGATGTTGCGTGTTTTTCCGAGTTCAGTAATTTGCGGTGTAATGTCAAGTGAGCAAGTGAGCACGCCGGTGTTACAGGTGAACACAGGTGAGCAAGTGAGCACGCCGGTGTTACAGGTGAACACAGGTGAGCAAGTGAGCACGCCGGTGTTACAGGTGGACACAGGTGAGCAAGTGAGCACGCCGGTGTTACAGGTGAACACAGGTGAGCAAGTGAGTACGCCGATGTTACAGGTGAATACAGGTGAGCAAGTGAGCACGCCGGTGTTACAGGTGAACACAGGTGAGCAAGTGAGCACGCCGGTGTTACAGGTGAACACAAGTGAGCAAGTGAGCACGCCGGTGTTACAGGTGGACACAGGTGAGCAAGTGAGCACGCCGGTGTTACAGGTGAACACAAGTGAGCAAGTGAGCACGCCGGTGTTACAGGTGAACACAGGTGAGCAAGTGAGCACGTCGGTGTTACAGGTGAGCAAGTGAGCACGCCGATGTTACAGGTGAACACAGGTGAGCAAGTGCGCATGCCGGTGTTACAGGTGAACACAGGTCAGCAAGTGAGCACGCCGGTGTTACAGGTGAACACAGGGGAGCAAGTGAGTACGCCGGTGTTATAGGTGAATAGGTTAGGTGTGCGTGCGTACACAAAAGCACGGCGAGTTTAGGTATGACACGTTGCAGCATGATGTGTGCGTAATGTAGTGTACACGCGTGTGTGTTTAATAGGACGCATATTCATGTTGGCAGCGTGATGCCTAATTGTAAACCGTATGTCCACATGTTCACATCAACATTGCCTGTTAACAAACGTGGGCTTGGGTAGATCAGAATGGATGATGGCCAATGGTCGAGACTAAGAAGAGGATTACAGCTAAAGCAGGGATGGAAGGCACCCGAAAGGGACCTCCACCTTGGAGATGGAGTGATGAAATCGGCTCGTGCATGTGCCGGATAGTTTGTGTATCGCAAAAACTTTCAGAGATGGCGACGGCATTGGAAAGCCTTCATCCAGCAGTGGATGGATCATGGATGAAGATGGGAAGCGGTGGTGTAGCTGTATTCGGCGTCCCGAGTTCGATTGCCGCTCACGGCCAACACCAGTAAGGAATATCTGAACCAGTCCTGGGCCTCCCCTAGGTCGACTCAGCCTCAAATGAGTACCTGGTGCTGTGTGTAAACATCGCCACTGGGGAGACAAAGGCGGTCGGGCGTGCCGGCCTTCATTTGTGCTCGCTAACAGCATTTGCCCCAAGAGTCTGTGGCGATGGGGGATATCTTTGTTTTTCGACATTCATCATCTCATATGCAGTCAGGCTCGCTTGAACCAATGCGGGTGAACTGCCAGATGTTTACGGGCAAGGGACCACTCTCCTAAGCCATCCAACAGTATCGTGTGACGGCCAAATCACACGTGCCAGACAGAACATGCTCATGCGAATTTCGTAGGTCACAATTCATAGGTTGACCGTGTATCACGCGGAGTTCCACAGATCTCTCTCTCTCCCTCTCGGGTCCGCCGCTATTTGGCATTCGCACGCTCCCACTGGGTATTGCCGATCGGTCCGCACGAGGCAGTCCTACCGTTGCCACTCCGCTGCATGTGGGACGTGACAGTGCGCGACTGTGTCACTGGTGGCCCCAGCGAGGATGGGATGACGCCTTATCCGCCTTCCTGTAGCTCAGTGCAAGCCAAACGGTCCGACAGAGCAGCAGCTGGCCAACTCGCAAACGTTTGTGCTGCAACTCGGCTGGCTTGGAGGATAATGCAGCCAGCCAAGGGGCGCCACGGTGGCGAGATGTTGTCTGCCTCGCCTGGATACATGAGATCGTGGGTTGGATCCCAACCCCTGTATATTTGGAGTTTGCGCATCTCTCTCCCCGTGGTGGTGTGGTCCTCCGATTTTTCCCCTCTACATTTAGATTCAACATCACGCGTTCAGAGTATTTGGCTGCTAGAAATTCCCACGTGATAAGCCACTTGGTTGAGCTGTCATTTGAGGCGAGGTCGCTTCTTAAACAGAGCTACATAGCTCAGTGGGCCGTAACTGGTAAAATAGAAAATTAAAATTTTTGTTGTTTTATAATGCCTTGGCGGACGTCACCTGCCACAGTGGTGTCGGACGCGGAAAGCGGATCCCGCTCGTTGTGAGCTCTGATTTTGAATAATCTCAGTAATTACTCTTTGGTTCTTTCGGTAAAGTCACGTAGAGAGAAATTTAATTAAATAATAATAGAATACGACGTTTCGATTTCAACACAAGCAATCGTCATCAGGTAAGAATAAATGAGAAAACAAACTTAGTAATACATTTTGATTTAAAGCTTTCGTGACTGCAGTGATTCATATTCTTGGTTCTTTCGGTAAAGTCACGTTGAAGGGAAACAATAAAATAATAAAATATATATAAAACAATACAATTCTAACGACGTTTCGACTACAACACAAACAGTCATCATCAGGTGTGAAAACCAACGGCAATAACATTTGAAAGAAGTGGCGGTTTGTATTTATTTATTTTTAAACGTTAGCACCACGGATAGCGATTTGACAGTTTGTTTAGATGGACAAGCCCATCTATGTTCGGAAAAGAGGAGGGGGGAGATGGAAAATTAATGTATACTGTCTGAAAGCCACCGTAAGCGTGAACAATCAATTAAGACCCGAAATGGTTTAACAATTCCAATGATTGCTAAGCCAGAATCCATCTTCTCGGTTGAAAGTCTGTGTTTGTATATGTGGATAGCCTCATGAACGAATCTCTCATGGTAGCCAGATGGCTTGCAAAGAACCTCTGTCTTGGAGAAGTCAATGTCATGTGAGCCTACTGAATTATAACAGTGATCTGCCACGGCCGAGGTGTTGGTCCTACCGTGTTTAAGGTCTGCTTTGTGTTCACGAATGCGGTCCGAGACATGTCGTTTGGTTTCTCCATTGTAACTACTACCACAGAGGCAACTTAGTTTGTAGACACCAGGGTACTGTATGTTCGGAATCACATCTTTTACAGACGGAACCAGATCACGGATTTTATGTAATGTGTTGAAACGGACCTGGATCTTGTGTTTATTCAAGATTTTGGAGATATTTTTGTGTTCCCCGCAATGTAGGGTAAAGTGATGGTTTTGAAAGGCTCCACAAGAGGGTCCTTCTTCATGGTTTGAGTGATAGCTTTGCGGATTGTATAGTCAGAGTAACCATTAGCCTTAAGAGCTTGGTGTACGTGCTTGAGTTCACTGCCTATGTGTTCCTGGTCGGATATGCATTGGGCTCTATGGTGCAGTCTTGATGAGAGAATTCTTCTGTGATGGATGGGGGTGGGAATCCGGTTTCAGGTAAGCATCCGTATGGCTAGCTTTCCTGTAGACAGAGTGGCTCATTGAACCATCAGGTCTCTTTTTTATTAGGACATCCAAAAAAGGTAGCTTGCCATATTTTTCGACTTCCATGGTAAATCTGATGGCTGGGTGTATGGAATTGATGTGGTCGAGGAATTGGTCTAGAGCAGGCCGGCCATGTGACCAGATGACAAAAGTGTCATCCACGTACCTCTTTCATAAGGTTGGGCGCAGAGTGGTAGTCTAGATGGCGTCAGTCTTAAATTTCTCCATGAAAATGTTGACTATAACCGGAGATAGGGGGGAGCCCATTGGGGTGCCCTCAGTTTGTTTGTAGAAAGTTCCATTCCAAGTGAAGTATGTATTGGTTAAGCAGTGTCTCACCAGGGGGGGTACCTCAGTGTTTAGTCCTTGATGAACCAAGTCTTCAATGATTGCGATGGTGTCAGGTACAGGAACTTTGGTGAATAAGGAAACTACATCAAAACTGACAAGCAGGTCGTCTGGGGACAGGGAAATACCCTTGATTGTCGATACCAGGTGAGTAGAATTTTGTACCGCAGAGGTGGTTTTTCCAGTGAAAGGCCACAGGATTTCAGACAGAAAACGCATACATTAATTTTTCATCTCCCCCTCCTCTTTTCCGAACATAGATGGACTCGTACATCTAAACAAACTGTCAAATTGCTATCCGTGGTGCTAACGGTTAAAAATAAATAAATACAAACCGCCACTTCTTTCAAATGTTATTGCCGTTGATTTTCACACCTGATGATGACTGTTTGTGTTGCAGTCGAAACATCATGATAATTTTATTGTTTTATATATTTTATTGTTTTATTGTTTCCCTTCAACGTGACTTTACGGAAAGAACCAAGAATATGAAACTTAGTAATCTTAGAAATAGAACGCAATACAACACAGAGATTCGGCCAACAAAACAGTCAACACCCTACCTGGTTGATTACGTTCTTCCAAAGATTGCTAAACTTGAGAGAGACAAAACACAGACACGGAAACACATAGACAGACACATAAGCAGAGAGACACACATAGAAACACACACAGAGAGAGACACACAGACACACAGAGAAACAATGCCTCTGTGTTGAGGCCTTAAATAGAGAGAGGGGGGGGCAGAGAGAGAGGTGGGGGTGTAGAGAAATTAGCAAGTCAATGAGAGAGTTGTGTGGAAAACTCCCCGTAGCGGCCAGAGGAGAGAAAACGGACTTTTAAACAAACGAGCGTGGCAAAATTTAGAGAGAGAAATAGCAAGTTTGAGAAAAGAAATAGTCAAAATTGGAAGTGTAATGCAATGCAACACAGAGAGTCGGTTAACACACAGTTAACGCATAGCCTGGTTGATTACGTTTTTCCAAAGATTGCTAAATTAGAAGTTAAGTGTGAGTTGTGTGGAAATCCTCTCCGTAGAGGCGGTTCAAACTAGATTTGAAGCTTTCGCGACTGCAGGAATTACTCTTTCTGTGCTTCCATCGCTCGCTCGATGGAACACGTGAGCGACACGTGAGCGGCGCGGGGTCGCAGCGCCCTCCTCCACTCCGACCAATCCACCGCGGCCTCCCAGCAGATGCAGAAGTCGCTGGTTCAATCTCCCGGGCATGGCAGGTGAGATAAGGGTGCAAGTTTCCTAACTTACCCCCCACCCCCTACCAGCACAATCACTTCCGTCTACCTGGCAGTACGGAATGGGTTACAACCACCAGAGCTTGTGGATCTGGCAGTTCGCGTGTGGTGGGGCAAAGTGTGGGTACTCCCCATCTTCATTTCGAGACGTCTGGCAGCCAGCATGGAAGAGTAGGCCAAAAACTCTGTGATTAGAGGGTCTCAAGAGCCACCTCTCCCGGGGGCGTGAGCGAGCGATTTGCGGGGCTGCACCTTTTAACCCCAGACGGAGGTGTTCACGCGACAGGGACGCCGTGTGAAGCATGCTGCTGCTGTTTGTTGTTGTTGCTGCTGCTATTTGTTGTTGCTGCTGCTGTTTGTTGTTGTTGCTGCTGCTGCTTTGGGCAGCACTGCCAGTCCCAGCAGGCCATGGACAACCTCATGAGGTCGCTCGATGCCAACGGAGATGGCACCATCGACTTCAGCGAGTACATGACCTTCCTCAACAAGTTCACCATCCTCATCGACGACTTCTACATCCGCTCGCTGCTCCGCAACCAGGCGTGCGTGCGGCTCATGTGTGTGTGGCTCCTGTGTGCGTGCGGCTCGTGTGTGTGTGTGGGGGACTCGTGTGTGTGTGTGTGTGGCTCCTGTGTGTGTGTGGTGCTCGTATGTGTGTGGGACTCTGTGTGTGTCCGGCAAAACAACCCCCTACCACCTCGCGGTGCTGGACGGGCAACACTGTCGTGGACAGTGCTGTGGGGGGGATGGCCAATTCCGATTGGCTGCTCCCCTCATGGCGTCTGTGACCACCACAGTGGCTAAATGGGGGCTCTGGACAGGTGCGAGGGGCTGGTAACCCCTCCACCTTCAATAAATTACCACTAAACCACGACTTAAGTATCTAACTAATTAGCTTGTGCCGAAGGCCCCGGGGGGACAGGCGTCTATGACGTCTCATGGCCAAACCCCATCTGGCGGAGCCAGGAGATTGAATCTTTACCCTCGGGACTCCTCCAGAAACAACGAAAAGCCACTACGTGTGGCCACGTGGAATGTTCGAACGCTCACTGCGGAGAAGAGGCAGCCTGGATCTCTGTGGCATTCAGGAGGTCTGGTGGACCGGCTCTGGCTCCTGCCACCATAAGGAGTGGACAGTCCTCTACTCGGGGCAGGAGACTGCCAAACAACAGGGTGTGGCTCTTATTCTGAACAAAAGAATGAAGGGGGCGTGGGAGCATGGCGGTGAGGTGTGGGAAGCTGTAAGCCCCAGGCTACTTTGGGCCCGCCTTCCCATCAACCGGAGGCAAGGAGTGGTGGTCGTGGTTACTTATGCCCCCACCGAAGACGAACATCCGTGGAGGGATGCAGACAAGGCCAATGAGTCAGTTACCTTCTATGACCTCCTGTCACAGGTGCTGGCTAAAGTGGCCCCTCGGGATAGAGTCATCTTGTTGGGTGACTTCAATGCCCGAGTTGGTCATGATGCTGGCACCTGGTCTGGAGTGATTGGAGGGCATGGGCCAGATCAGCTTAATAACAACGGTAGGAGGCTGCTAGATTTTTGTGCAGCCCATGGGCTCATAATTACCAACACACTGTTCCGGCATCGGCGCATCCACACAACATCATGGATGCATGCCGGGTCCAAGAAAGAACATCTGCTGGACTACATAGTGACGGACCAGCGGATGTGAGCCCATGTCCTTGACACCAGGACCTACCATGGAGCTGATCTGCCCTCTGACCATTGACTAGTCATCTGTAAGATGCGTCTGCCATTCTTTCACTCCGGTGGTAGGTGTACACCCAGGACCCCATTCCAACCTAAGGTGGCCTGGTCTCAGCTAGCTGATGACAGTTGCAAGTGAGAATTTTATCATCGCTTGCGGTTGGGGTTGGCATCGTCCCCCACTCCTCCTGATGTCGAGGGTAAATGGACGAGGTTTAGAACTTTGACTCATGCAGCTGCAATGGCTGCTTTGGGTACGCGGTCTAGACCTCCCCAGAGACTCTGACTGACTGAGGAGGTGTTCAGGATGGTTGAGAAAAAACGACAGGCCCACTCTAATCGTCTACAAAATCCCACGTCAGAGAATGAGGAGGCTTACCGCAGCCTTCGCTCGGAGGTTCGGAGAGCAGTGAGGCGCTGCAAGGATGGGGGGTGGTCGCAGGTTGCTGAGGAGATGGAGCCTGCCTCAGTGACCCGCGATCACAAATCCTTATTTAACTCCATCAAAAAAGTAACCTGCAGCACCACACCTATTACCATCATTAGGGGAAAAAACGGTGATCCAATCTCTGACCCCCAGGAACAGGTTTGCAGATTTGCTGAGCATTTCTGTGAGGTCCTGGGGGAGGGGAAATCCCCCAGCCAGGAAAACATCGTGGCACAAAGTGGAAATGACCCTGCTGAGGCTGCGGTGCCTCAAATATTGGAAGAAGAAGTCACCCCCTGTGAGTGGCTGGCTGAGGTACCATCTGTTGAGGAAGTACTGAAGGCGATCCAGAGTCTGAGACCAGGAAAGGCACCGGGCAGAGATGATCTCCGAAATGCTGAGGGAGGGTGGCGTTTTTGCACAGACTGCCCTCCATGACATCATAACAACAGTCTGGATCACTGGACGGGTTCCGCAGTGATTGGAAGGATGCCCTGGTGGTCCCCCTCTTTAAGAAGGGGGACCACACAGACTGTAACAATTACAGGGGCATCTCACTCCTCAGTGTGCCGGGAAAGGTCCTGGCAAGGATTATTCAACATCGCCTTGCTAGGCACGCTGAGGAGAGGCTTGCGGAGCCCCAATGCGGTTTCAGGAAAGGGCGGTCCTGCACAGATGCCATATTTTCTGTGCGTCTGCTACAGCAGAGGAGTAGGGAATTCCAACAAGATCTACATATCTGCTTTATTGACCTGGTCAAGGCCTACTGTATGATACCATCAGTAAGCCTGGGCTCTGGGTTGTTCTTCGTGCTTTCGGAGTCCCTTACTCTCTGCTCACGATCATTAAGGACCTTCATGATGGTGAGCGGGCCTGGGTAAAACTACGTGGCCGGGAGTCAGAGCCATTCCCTGTACACCTTGGGGTGTGACAGGGATGTCCTCTGGCTCCCACATTATTCAACATCTATTTTGACCACGTAGCTCGTGAAGCCTTCAATAGCTGTACCGGGGGAATTTTCATTTGGTACAGATATAATGGGAGGCTGATCGATGCCCGGGTGCGGTCAAGGAATGGCTCCCTATTGGTCAGCCACGTTATGTATGCCGATGATTTGGTAATTGCTGCTCATTCAGAGGAGGAGTTGGAGACGCTGCTGCTGAAACTGGAGCATGCCACTAAGAGGTGGGGCCTTACCATCAGCCCCACCAAAACTAAACACCTGCCTGGGTATTTTGTACCATCGGACACTCCACCCCCACAACTCCCAATCGGTGATGGGGCAGTTGTGGAGAGAGTGGAGAGTTTCCCATACCTGGGCAGTGTGCTTATGACTGGCTCCAGTTTAACGGCAGAGGTCTCACTCCGAATCAGTCGAGCGGCAATATCTTTTCATCGGTTGCGTAACGCTGTGTGGAAGCTACCTGGTCTGTCGCTCCGCACGAGGCTTCAGGTCTTCTCGGCCACGGTCATTCTCTCCCTTCTCTACGCTTGCAAAACGTGGACCCCCCTAATGGAACATTTTCACGAGTTAGAAACATTTAGGCTGGCCTGCCTATGATCCATCCTGGGTTTAACCAGGCTGGATTGTGTAAGGAGCTCATAAATCCTTGAAATATCTGGGAAAAGTCCCATCGGTGAGCTCCTCCGGCAGGCAAGGCTGCGTTGGCTGGGTCATGTAGCCCGCATGCCCAGCCACCGCATGCCTAAACAGCTTTTTTTCGGCCGGATAGAGGGGGCTAAACCGGCGCGGCATGGGCTAGAGAAGAGATGTGGTATGGGAGGACGTGGAGCTGAGTGGACTTGCCGATGACTGGTACCAGCGGTGTCAAGATCGGCCTCTGTGGAGGAGGCTCGTGAAGGATGCTACTGGGCAGTTGGAGGCAGTCGCCCTCCAACAACAACGGAGGGCGGAGGAGCGATGCTCACAACAACGAGCAGAGCGCCGGGTGGCTAAAGCACAGCAAGTTGGCACAGTAGGGGGCACAGGTGGTGCATCAGCCAGTCAACTCGGTCATCTCAGTCAGTCGACCCGTGACACCTGGGTCTGCCCCGTGACCTCCTGCCAGCGGGCGTTCGACACTTCATGTGGCCTCAAGGTGCACATGGCCTGGCACAAGCGTCGTGGTGACGTCACCGCCACTTCGTGGCGAATGGCGGTTGTTGTGTTGTTGTGTTGTGTGTGTGGGGGGGATCGTGAGTGTGTGTGGGACTCGTGTGTGTGTGTGTGACTCGTGTGTGTGTGTGTGTGGTGCTCGTGTGTGTGGGGGGGTCATGTGCGTGTGTGGCTCATGTGCGTGTGTGGGACTCTGTGTGTGTGTGGGGGGGGGATCGTGTGTGTGGGACTCGTGTGGGTGTGTGGCTCATGTGCGTGTGTGGGACTCTGTGTGTGTGTGTGTGGGGGTGGATCGTGAGTGTGTGTGAGACTCTGTGTGTGTGTGGGACTCGTGTGTGTGTGCGGGACTCGTGTGTGTGTGCGGGACTCGTGTGTGTGTGTGTGCGTGGCACCTGTGTGTGTGGGGCTCGTGTCTGTATGACTCGTGTGTGTGGGGGGCACGTGAGTGTGTGTGGGGTTCGTGTCTGTATGACTCGTGTGTGTGGGGGGCACGTGAGTGTGTGTGGGGTTCGTGTCTGTGTGGCTCGTGTGTGTGTGCCTCGTGTGTGTGTGCCTCCTGTGTGTATGTGTGGCTCGGGTGTGTGGGGCTCATGTGTATGGTGCTTGTGTGTGTGTAGTTCATGTGCATGTGGGCCTTACGCATACACTTGTGGACCAGTGAAAAATAATTGCCTGACGATTAGTTTTATATAGAGCCGTCGTCGTTCATGCGATTCGCACCTCGCAGTCGCCGAGTAGAAACCACAGACCAAGCTGGAAGGCTGCCAGGTGGTGAGCCGGCACCAAACAACTGCTCTGCAGTTCTCTACATATCAAGATGCTTTCAGCCAATTCGTGAGTGCTGCTACAGAAACTGTAGCACCCGGAGAAACCCCACACATGTGAAGGGGCAATGCTCTATCCCACACAGAAGAGACAGACGGCACCAGTCCACAGTTTTTGGACTGCATTCTGCTGGTGAGCCAGGGTCCGGCTCCTCCTCTCCCCCCCACGAGAGAAAGGAGTTACACGACGTTTTCCATTCGTCCCATTCCACCATCCTCGCTTGCCTCCAACACAATGCTGGATTGCAGGCCCTGCGTGCGCATCCATCACCACCAAACGTAGCATCGTCATGATCATGATCTATGGGTAGACAGCCCTGTAGGTGTCCACTGCACACGTCATCATTTGTTTCCACCTTCTTCTGCCTTGTGCAAATATGCTCAAGTAGTGCCACATCTTTTTGGCATCAATCCCGTACGTCGTCGTCAAGCCATTCTTTGTTAGGTCCTCCTCTATTTCCGGTTTCTTCCATTTTTGTGAACAACGCAGCGGCTAACACCAAATCATTAAGAGTCAGAATATGTATTTATCCTGGAGGAATCCGATGAGCTATGAAGGTCTTTTTCACAGATGTCCAGCAGGGGCGGGTAAGAAAGCTACGACAACAAAAAATACAAAACAAGATAGGAGTGCAAAGTACAAGAAAAGTCAACAAATCACCCAAAAACATACAAAATTAACGAAACCATCCCCATCCTCTGCACTCTGACCGATCTCTGTATCCGTGTGTGCGTGCGTGGCGAGCAGCATCTCGCTGAAGGCGAGCACGGCGATTGAGGAGGCTCTCTACGGCCTGGTGGAGGCTTTCCACAAGCACGCAGGAAGCTCGGGGGACCCCTTCAAGCTCAACAAGCAGGAGTTCAAGAACCTTCTGCAGACTGAGATGCCGACCCTGCACGAGGTAACGTCGGTTTGGGACATGGCCCCTGGTGCGCTGGGGCTTGCGGTCCCCGGAGGGCGTGGGTTCGATTCCATCTCCCGCGACCGAAATTGGGATAACGTTGTGGGGAAAAGATACTTTCTAAATATTTCTTGTGATTTTTTTTTTATAATCCAGCAACCATCCAAAAGATGTTGGTGCAATCTCCTGGTGCGGGCAGATGAAATGACGGGGCAAGTTTCTTGAATCTCCTCCGGCCCACCGAGCGAGTTGCGCGGGGTGGGGTAAAGTGTGGGTAACTCTCACCTCTTCCGAGACGCCTGGCCAGCATGATAGAGGAGGCACGTTTTGTTTACGTGACAAACCTCACGAATTGGCTGTGTCGGGTGGTGGCGGGTTTAACAACACATTTATATTTACGATATCTAACCCCAAAATAATTTCCATTATGGATAATATTGGTTGTGAAAGCCGATTTCGTGTTAAACTACACATTTACCCTTGGATCATTTACATCCCTTCTGTCAATTCACCGATGAAAGCCTTCGCACTTCACGTTGGTCGTGGGGGTTCCGTGACCATACTTCACCAAGCTGGTCAGTGCATGGTTGGTGAAGGAGGTGGATGCCCGGGACCGATTCGCGTATCACTCGCCACCGATGTTGGCCATGGCTGGTTAATAAATTCACGTCGCCGGGTTCAAAGGGCAGTGTGCTAACTGCTGCACCTCCACTCTCCCCCAATAAATATTGGCTCCATAAAACATTTGTTCCCACCAGACAACATGTTCCACCTACTTATTTGAACCCCTGGGTTATGGGTTAGGTTTAGGGGATATGGGTGAGGGTTAGGGGTAGAGTGAGATGCTACATTGGATTAGATAATAGGCCATAGCTTGCGGTCAGCTGGGACAAATGTATTTTAGTTAAAATCCTTTGATATATTTTTTCCGTTTAAGATCACAGTGTTGTTGACAAATGTGTTGACTGCATGGGAGAAACGGTCTCTGTCTGTAATGTCGATGCCAATATCGGGTTGCCACCTGTTCTGGTTTGCCCAGGATCGTCTGCTCCTTAACATAGCTCTCCAAGAAAGTCTACGCATCATCCCAAGACATTCAAATTCCCAGTTGTATAGTAATCCACTACTCAAGACAATGTATTTACATGGAGCACTATCCCCTTTTCCAGAATCGTGAGACATTCTTCCCCGTGACTGTTGCTGATGGTCGCCGTCAGCTGTCTCTCTGCTCAAGCGTGACGTTGCCATGATGTTGCCTCCGTGCGCCATTTGCAGTGCCTGAAAACCAAGAGGCAGCTGAAGGATTTCATCTCGGCCCTCGACCAGAACGGCGACGGCGAGGTGGACTTCGGGGAGTTCATGTCGCTTGTAGGACGATTCGCTCGGGCGCTCAACCACACCGTCTCCAAGTCTCCCTCGTCGCATCGGACAAGCTTATAAGCGGCGTCGCAGGGGTCACGAGCGGACGTGATCACGAACGTCGTCTGAGAACGCTGCGGAGGTTGGGGGATGCAGCGGTTTGCCGAGAGGTGTTGAATGTTTTGTGGGGCGTGATGACGACGATGACGACATGTGCCAGTTGGTAGTTGACGTCACACCCTTCATGGTTAAAGATGCCAAATTTGTACAGAGGCTTGACTGGGACAATGCGGTAGCCCCTCCTTCCCCGCCCCCATTAGCTACCCCCACTCAGCCGCTAGTCCTTCCCACACAATGAGCAGCTTGTGTTGCTTGATGACAAATAAGAATGTTTTAGCCTTTCTGGCAATAAAACAGGTGTAAAGATATTCAAACACCAAATAGATACCTTTTGCGAGGCGTCAAGTCTGCATTAACCACACGTACATGTGGCAAAACATGCATACAAACACGCTATGATAATATATGCATTGTCTTTGAAGCTGATTGGCCACCCAACTGTAACTCAGCACACTACTCAGGTTGGCCCACCCTTTTCCACCTGTCATGAGTCGATCATTACCGATTTCCGCAAAAGCTTTGGGACACCCAGCATTTCTGAACCCTGGACTCTCCTGGCCAAACTAGGAATGTGGTAGTTTTGTTAACGATGCTCAGTCACTTAGCTGAAATTAGTTGGCGTGTAATGATTCGTACCCCACATTTATTACTCTCGAGATCTGAGGAGATCTCGAGATCTGAGCTCCTGTTAACAACTTGAGGATGCCGGATGTAATCTTCAGTAACTTTTATTTAAATGCTGACATCGCTCTCCAACAACAATAACAACACCAGTGATACTGCAGTGGTAATAAATTTGTGCACGTTTGCTTCACGTGACACTTTTTATTAATTGGCTATGTCGGGTGGAGGACGGTTTACGACACATTTTTTTACACGACCCAACCCAATTAAAAACAAAACCCAATTATGAATCAGTTTGAATTATGTTGAGCAGATGTCCTAATATCACAAATGCCACAGGGCACCCCTTGGTGCTCATCGACGCTCCGCGTTGCGATGAGCACGGTTGGCCGTGAATGGGGCGAAACGTCAACAGACGTGCGTACGTATATTACGCCGCTAAAATATTGAACATCATGCAAATGTTTACGTCACCACGGCCCAAGGATTAAATACGCGGCCCTGCGGCGATAAGAACCACACACGGCGCATGCGGCTTTATCCGCGTGTTCCCTTTAAGAGGGGCCAACCTGTGCTAAGCTTAAAGTGGATTAAAAGACTGGATTAAAGCAATTGCGTAGTGATTGCAATTGCAAGCATCTAGAGTGGACCGACATTGAGAGCGGCGATTGTAGTTTACATCTTTTGTTATCCGATTGCTTAAGCGGCGCAACAATCTTGTCCAAACTGTTTGAGGGATTATGAATGCTGGGTTTACATTTATCTCTTTATTGTTTTATTGTTGTGCTGTTTTTCCCCCCCCAACTTGATTACAATTGTGATGTCGCCCTCCTGTCATGAGATCAAGGGGGGTCCATTTGGTAATCTCGCGCAGCAGGGATTTATTGCAAAAGCACCCCGTGATGGAGCACACGACACATGGAAGGTAACAATACAGAACTACTTCTGAGATCCCTTGAAGCGATCTCTTGTTCACACTGCAAGGGCTGCACTTCCGCACACACCGTGCTGTGTAGATTCGTCAGAAGGGCATTGTTCAACGTTTCGGGCAATGGGCCTTCAGATATGAATTTCAAATGTATCAGAGCCGGAGCGTGGCACTTACCTATGAAAACCAAGTTTAACCCAAGTACTCACACCTCGTTGTTTTATTTATTTCATTTGGCAGAAGGGGATAAAACCTCACACAAGCAATAGCTCAAGATTAGTGTGGAATGAGAACACTGTTCAGAGCTTCAAGCTCCCGATTTTAAACATCGATTCAGACCGCAAGGTGGCGGTGGGTTCATTGCCTCTGACCGTCGAGCTATCTGACCACCGGCTCTCACACTCCAACAGCGCTCGGGGTAGATTGTAGCCCCCCCCCCCCCCCCCCCCCCGTGTACCGACCGAGCCGTTAACCATAGGCCACGGGCAAATTAACAAAATCAGAATCTACCGGCAAGTTACGCGCAACAACGTTGCATCGATACGCAACGCAGTGACGCCGACATACCAGCACCAACATCAGGTCAGCTCTCGATTGTCAGGGTGGGAGGAATCATCTGGGTTTGTGGGCTATAACCGTGCTTGCTTGTGAAAATTGTTCCGTGAAATATCTTTGCGCGTGCTCACTCGCTCACGCTGTATCACCGCCCCTCCGAGTCACGGGCCCAGTGACACATCGCCTACGTGACTACAGACGCATTAGCGGTCACAAAGCCCATTGCTTCAAACGGCGAGAGAAACGAGGAGGCACACTCACCATCTTCATGCCCATTTGTTGGTGAAAACTAAATATACGGACATATTGGCGTTACACCGGTGCAGCACAACACACCGGTCCCTCATAAAACAGTCTAAAATCTAAATTGAATCTGCAAATCTGTTATCAGTCTTTAAAAGACTCCTGTCGTCAAGTTTTATGCGATTTGAAGGTTTATTCGGTCTACTGAGACTTGCTAAAAAGAGGTTAACATTGAACGTTGATTTGGGTTCGTTGAATCGAGGAAGCGCCCGACCAAGTCTAGGGCACGAGGAGTCAAATCTGCTAACACGGAGCAGCCAATCGTCATCAGGCTGGGTGATGCTATACGTCAACAGACTGTGAAGCGTCGTGCTCAGCCGCTCATATAAACATTCGTCCTCTGACTGCTTCGACATCACGACAACTGATTTTGACGAACAACCCGCAAGATTTTGTGACCGGGGTTGCGAATCGCGGGAAAATTTTAATGAGTATTGTGAAAAATTTGCTTTTTCCATACCCCGCACCGGTGTACCGCCAATACGTTCAATTCACCGAATTTAATAAAAATGTTGCATTGTGTGTTTTAGTTTTATCCAGACCACCCGTCCGATGCCCCTCCCCAGGTAATCAAGAATTGACTGGCGTGTCATTGAATTATTGACGTGGCTGAATGTAACTTGCAATGTCCGTGTTATTACGCCCCAAGTGTAACCGCACTAAGTTAGACACTTTTTTTTTACCACCGCAGAGCTGAGTCTCACACGCGACGTAACATTGCACCTCTCTTCCGGTTAAGTTTATACGGAGGCTTTCGCAACCAATGTTCTGACTCACAACTAGCTGCTGTTGGCTTCGATCGTCGTGTGGTTATAATGCCAATTTTCAGCTGTAGCATCCACGACCCGACTGATTTCATTGGCGCTGTCGGGTGGTGGAGGGTGCAGATCAAATTGGCATTACACCCACAGGATAAACAGCAGCTAATTATGTATCTCTTATGATAAATGACAATTCCTTACCTGTCAAATTTAGATTTTCAAATTAGATTAGTGTGTTTGCGCACTATGACTGTTAAATGCTCAATTGTACCCTATTGCACAGCTACAATGCAGCTTATCGTAGGTTGAGTTATATTCAAAGAACGTATCTACTGCGTTCCAGTATTGTTTAGTTGATACTCCATTATTTGTCATTAATCGTCCTGTTAACGCTCGCTGTGTTTTCGGGGTCGTACCACGGCTGTTGTTCGGCGTCGACATTCGACGTTTCAGCTCTGCCGTGCAGGGAGCTTATTCAGGAATGGCTCAGTTCAGTTCTTGAAGCTCCGAGCACGTGGCAACAAAACGTCAGACGTGGCGTGGAACCATACGCGGCACAAGCCGAAAAACAACATCGCAGAGCTGTACAGCGGAATTGCGAAAACCCACACAGTTAATCGTTTTAATGTTCATATCGGTGTCAGCTTCGTGACGTTGGAAGGGCTGTGAATGTGTATTTACATGCTTCCTGTATCGCTTTGTAGCCCAGGTCTCCTCCGAAATGGAAACGCTTGTTCCCAATTGGCTTGCACCTGGGTGAAATAAAGGATACTGAACAAACCGCCCGTTTGAAAAACTCGCTCCTTGCATCTAAGAAAAGAAATAAACCCCGCGCACATGAAACACGGCGGGCAGTGGCACGGAAAAACGAAATCGACCTTTCGAGCGCAGAGCAACACTGCATGGTGTGTGGACGCAGGACCAGTTCAAATGTTTACTCGCCACCAATGGGAGCCATTTCTGGGAATCAAGTTCACGTAAACTAAAGCTAAACTATTTTATTTTCAGAAGCGACCTGGCTCTTTTTCAGAAGCGACCTGGCAAGCACACATGATAGCTAAACGAAGTAGCTTATCACGTGGAAATGTATAGCAAATACTCTAAACGCACGTTGATTACAAATATGGAGGAAAAACCGGAGGACCCGGAGAAAAATCCACGAGTCCAAGGGCAGAACATTCAAACTCAGTGGCGGCTCATGGCATTTCCACTAGGGGGGGTTGTTGTGAGTGACCTCTGAAAAGATGGTGTTCTAATTAAGAAAACAACCTCGTCATGTTATTGGCCTTCCCGTGAAAGTGATATAACACACACCCAGCTTAATAACCATTGCTACGGTCTACATTATAGACTGCCAGTACACTCACCAAACGTAATAACCAGGCTACAGTCCACATTATAGATTGCCAGTACACTCCGATTAAGAACCAGGCTACAGTCTACATTCGTGGGTTTTTTTGTTTGTATTATTTTGTATTCACTTTCTTTTTTATTATTTTTATTATATCTACGTGACTTTACCGAAAGAAACAAAGACTAGCGATGTAACTCTCTTATCTACCAACGGTCGGCGTTTATAAACAATACGAAACAAAACAACAAAGCACTCAAATGCTGTCCCCATGACCCTCAAGTCCACACTACACAACTCCTTTGACACTGCCAAAAGCCTAGAGCGTGTAGGCCGTGACCTGCTCTATTTGCACAGTGCCACCTCCCGTTGCTACATCGTCCCGTTACAGCCACGAGCGCCTTCTTCACTGCCACGAACGGGTCTCAAACGGCGTGGCTACAATACTAGAAGCTCTTCGCAATGAATGAAGGGAAATCTGTCACTCGGACGTCTTCACAGCCGCCCCGAGACCTCCCCGAGCCACAAATCAGAATGTGGTTGTTGCAGCGGTTTCTGATATGACCTTAAAATGTTATCTTCATAAGGCAATTCACGTTGAAAGAATCATATTTTTAAACACAACAAAACAATATTATTTGAAAAGTATTTTTTATTATAAAAAATGATTTCTCATCTCCAGCTGCTTGGTTGGGCGGCGACTCAACACCCCCAGCGGACGAACCGGGGCCCGTGCAAACTCCAAATAGACATCAGGGTTGGGGTCGAGACCCACGCGCTCCTAAAGACCAGGCGAGGCAGTGAACATCTCGCCATTGGAGTTCATAGCACAACTCACTGACTGCTGCGGAACCATTCTTAATGTTGACCACGAAGCTTGCAATTCATGCATCGTATCGCATTTGAGATTCAATGAGTTTAAATTGTCCTGTGTCCCTGGCATGCGGTGCAGTGTTGTGAAAAATATGGGGAGCGGTAGCGCAGTGGTTTGCGTACTGTACTCCGAGCCGGGCGACCTGAGTTCAACACCTGCTCATGGCCAAGATCAGTGATGGATATCTGAACCGGTCCTGGGCATCCCCTTGGTGTACCTCGTGCAGTGTGTGAACATCGACACGAGTGAGACAAAGGCGTTCGCGCGTGGTGCTAGCCACCCACCCACCCCCTCGTGTACTGTCCTGCTCTTCATAGGGTGCTCGCTAACAGTGCTTGCTTGAGCCACAGAGCGCAGAGCATACTGTGACATCACTGATTGGAATCTGTGTGGCATCTCTGTGTGACATCACTGTGTGGCATCACTATGTGTGTGACATCACTGCGTGGCATCACTGCGTGACATTACTGTGTGTGTGACATCACTGTGTGACGTCACTATGTGGCATCACTATGTGTGTGACATCACTGTGTGGCATCACTATGTGTGTGACATCACTGTGCGGCATCACTGCGTGGCATCACTGTGTGTGTGACATCACTGTGTGACATCACTATGTGGCATCACTGTGTGTGACATCACTGCATGGCATCACTGCTTACCCGTGCCATGTGATGAGATGAAGATGTTTCTACTTGAAATGGTCGCAGTTAGCAGTGTATCACCCTATGCTTGAGAATAACTCCAGCAGAAACAATAACTTGAGTGTATCCACACTAGACGCTCACTTTTTTATATATATATAAACACTGCAACCAGCACTCATTGCATGTCAATCAACCTGACGTTTTAAATCCCACAGCTGGAATTCATCCAACTGGACAGATTCACTCTCGTGGGGAAGTTGTGTGTGGCCAGGCGACAGCCAACAAAGTGTCCATTCGGGACCCTTGCAGGGCAGTGCAACCTTTTGCATTTGAGAATGGCCCATGGAAGCAGATTTAACAGAACGACTGGTCATGTGCAAACTCAACACATTCGTCAAAAGCGCCGTATGGCCACAAAAGGAAAAGTATGTCATTCGTGACATTCAGGGCATTCGCCCTTCTTCATAGTATATAGATGGCCCAGAGAGGTAGGTAGGTGATTAATTCTAGATTTTAAGCTTTCGTGACTGCAAGGATCCATACTCTTTGGTTCTATTCGGTAAAGTCACGTAGGTAAAAAATAAAACAACAAAAATCACGACGTTTCGGCCACAACACAAGTGGCCTTCATCAGGAGGAGGGACCGGACTGTCCAGAGGACAGCGTTGGAGTGAAGACAGCCAAGCCCAGGTCGCGTCCTTTAAGCTGTGTGGGAGGAAACAAAACACGCCTTGACAAACAGATTCTGTTTAAGGCCAGCCTATCTTTAATCTCAGAGAGGATAAGACTACTCCGTTTTGAACTCGATACTTTAGACAGGACTCTCCTACAAGCTCATTTAACACTAACACAAAAATGTCACCTTCTGATTGGAACCACGTAGACAACATGACTGCTTCTTCTGCCGATTCACTTTCAGTCAAATACAAAGCTAACCTGATTTCTAAATTCAACCACCTATCGAAGAAGAACCCAGTCCCACATATAACAAAACTAGACGTTAACAAAATCGTCATTAATCAGAGTAGCACCCCGATTTCGGACAATCTGAAAACAGTACTGGCTAGAAGGCTAAATTTTGCTGTCACCCCGAAACATATTCCTGTAAGATGATATAATCTCTCAGGTCGATGTGGCTCTTAAAGGCATAGGACACATCCAAACAGACGTTGTGAGAGCTGAAATAGCCACTATTCTTAAGAATGCTAAGAAACCCATTAGCAACATCAGCAAAATGAACGCTCTGAACTCACGAATCTAAAAAACAGAAGTGATATAGTCATCCTCTCAACCGACAAAGGCAACGCTACTGTAATTATGGATAAAGATTCGTACAACAACAAAATCCAGAACCTACTCAACGATGGAAGTTAATCAAAAATTAAAAATGACCCTACTAATAGCCTAACTATAAAAACCAACAAGATCATCACAAGTTCGACCTCCCTAATCGAACCAACTAAACGTCCCTCCTTAAAACCTTCTGCTGCAAGACCCCCTAGATCAGGGGTGGGCAAATTTTTTGACTCGCGGGCCACAATGGGTTCTAAAATTTGCCAGAGGGGCCGGGCCAGGAACAGATGGATGGAGTGTTTGTGTGAACTTATATAAATAACATGTAAAATCATTACATGAAAGGATTTGGCCTTTAACAGGTAGCAAAGCATTTATTTGCAAGGCAATTTAAAAAATTCCACGAACATGAACAATACAAAAACAGGTCGTAACTCCCGGTCAAAGTGCGCCATCTAATGGGGAAATGGGGGCATTACAGGAGAAAGGTAAAATTTAATTTAATAATAATATTTGGACAAGTTCGGCGGGCCGGATTAAAAAGCCCAACGGGCCGTATACGGCCCGGGGGCCGTACTTTGCCCATGTCTGCCCTAGATTCTATGGTCTCCCCAAGATTCATAAAGAAGGCACTCCACTACGACCCATCGTATCCACGATCAACTCTCCTACCTATAAGCTAGCACGTTTTCTGTCAGATACCTTGCTACCTTTCACTGGCAAGACCTCCTCAGCAGTACTTAACTCAGCTCATTTGGTCTCTATGGTCAAACACGTTGTACTGTCCCCTGACGATACCCTTGTCAGCTTCGATGTGGTCTCCCTGTTCACCAAGGTCCCGGTACCTGATACCATTGAAATAATTGAAAATTTGGTCCAACATGGACTAGACCCCGATACACCTGCGCTGATTAGACACTGCCTCACCAATACCTACTTTACTTGGAATGGCACCTTCTACAAACAAAATGAGGGTACCCCCATGGGTTCTCACTTATCACCAGTGATAGCCAATGTTTTCATGGAGAAATTTGAATCAGACGCCATCCAGACTTACACCCTCAGACCTTCCCTGTGGAAGAGATATGTGGATGATACTTTTGTCATTTGGCCACATGGGCTCCCAGCTTTGAACCTTTTCCTACACCACATCAATTCTAGACATCCCGCCATCACATTCACCATGGAAGTGGAGAAAGATGGCAAGCTACCATTCTTGGATGTTCTGTTTGAGAGGAGACCTGATGGCTCACTGGGGCATTCTGTCTACAGGAAACCCACCCACACAGATTCCTACTTGAAACCTGATTCCCACCACCCAGCTCAAAAGAATTCTCTCATCAAAACGTTATACCACAGGGCACATTGCATTTCGGACCAACACCACCTGACCAGTGAATTAAAACATGTACACCTGGCCCTCAAGAGAAACGGATACTCTGACCGTACCATCTGCCAAGCTGTTTCTCCCTCCATACAAAAACAACCACTTGATATTTCGATTTAAAGCTTTCGTGACTGCAATGATTCATCTTCTTTGGTTCTTTCGGTAAAGTCACGTAGAATGAGAATAAAATAATAAATTGATAAAATAAAATAACACAATAATATTCTCACGACGTTTCGGCCACAACACAAGCGGCCTTCATCAGGTGAAGGGGGCGAGACTGTCTGGTAGGACAGCGCTGGAGTGAGAGAGCCACGTTCAGATCACGGCTTTTAAGCTGTGTGAGAGGAACAAAGAGCCTTGACACAGGAATTAGCATAAAATTTAGCATTGAAATGGCTGAATGATTAGCTTGTGACTGGTCACAGAAATAGCTATGTTAAAAGTTAAAGCATACACATCCGCAGAGGCACCCATTGTTAAAAGGAATTAGCA